TTCCTGGTKAGCTGAAAATGTAAAAATGGCATTGGGGTGAGAGCTCCTGCTGCTAAAATCGGGGGGTTGAAGGGGACAAGCCCYTGCTGAGTGTTTTTTAGAAATTTATTTATTTATTTGGCTGTTTTGTTAACGGTCACAATCCTGCAAAACCTTTCACAGCAGCAATTTCCCATCTTCCTTAGCCCCATCCCTATTTTTCAATGATTTCTGCATCACAATTTGGGATCTGAGCCAGGCAGCTGCAGGGTTTTTTGTGGGTTTATCAGGGAATTGTGAGATTTTTTTCTCCAATTCCCAGGTTCAGGCCTCCTGCTCTTTTTTAGAACTTGTTGGAGCAGCGTTTCTGGATCAGCACATGGGGAAGGAGAGAAGCTGAAGGAAGAGAACAAAATCATCCAAAATAAAAAAAAATTAAAAAAAAACAAAAACAATATCAGGTTTATGAGCAAAACTAACGACAGGGTTTTTCAGACAAAGCAAGGATTAAAGGACAGAGGAATTTTGATGGGGTGTGACCAGTTCAATTCAGCCCAAAATCCTGTGCTTGGTTCCTCCTCCATGGCAGGACTCAAAACATCCCCAAAAAGCTGCTCTGTTGYTGTTCTAAGGAAGAGAACATCCTGCTTCCCCTTTAAACCGTGTTCAAAATGTTCAAAACTCCTTCAAAATGTTCAGTGGTTGCTGCAGTCCTGCCCTTATCCTTATCCYTTCTTTTTATTTCCCTCTCCTTGTGCTTTAAGGAGCTGGCTAAGCAGGGATTAGGGAATGGTGTGGGGGGAAAAATCCTCCTGAAAAACCTTCCAGAGCTCTGAAAAGCCACAGACACACTCAGGCCTTCATTTTGTACACAGAAAAATCATTTTATCCTCCTTCTGCTGCTGCAGTTTGCTTGAACTCTGAAAAAAATGAAAAAAAAAATTTCAATTGTGGGGTTTACAACCACACAACAGCATATCCCAAACTTATTTCTGACCACATTTCCCATTTCTCTCTCTTTGCTGCTATCACAGTTTTCTGTTTCAAGGTTGGGAATGARCACCCAGACCTTGGGGAGAGGGAGGAAGGGGATTTTGAGCCCTGCTGAGCTCTCAGGCACCTTCCACAAATATTTATGTGACCTCCAGGATGGAAATGCTGCACTCCCCGTGCTCCCAGGAGCTTCCCCCCTTCTCTGGAATTTTCTGTATTTTAGGAGAAATCTGGGTGGGATCAGGAATCCAGAGRGGGATTTTGGGGTGTCAAAATCCTGCTCCGGGGCGGGGGGGATGTGGCTGCAATTAAAATCATTGAGTTCAACATAAACTAGGATTTATCTCTGTCATCAGACAGGAAACAGCAAAAGTTAAGGTAAAACCCAGAAAAATTATTATAAAACCGTAATATTTAATTAATTGATTAATATAAATTAATTATAAATTAATTGTAAATTAATTATTCTGCTGTGTTCTCATATCAGAGCCGTTCTCCTCGCAGGAACCCCCGGGGTTTTGTTGTTTTTTCCCTTCACAAACACAGAAAAGGAACATCCCCAACCCCCTGCCCTAAACAGGAACTGCATCCCCGGTGAGATCTTCCTGTCCTGGCCCTATTTACAGCAGGAAGGTCACCCCAATAAGAACAGAAATAGGATTTTTTTTTTTTTTTGAGGGGGTGACCAAGCAGATTGTGCATGGTGAAAGTTCAGAGGAGCAGAGCTGAGAACATTTGGGAAGAACACCCCACTGTGGCCAATTTTGGGTGCAGAACAATTAAGGGATTCAGGCACTCAGGAATTTGGGTTTTTCCCTACATCAAATCACCAAATCATTAAATGCACAGGAATTTTCCTTGCAAAACCATTCGCCAGTGTGCAATTGTTTATTGAAAGCCTAAACCCAACATTTCCATTGTTGGACTGAAAATAAATGACAAAACCGGCAAAAATTCAGGAATCTTAAAGGTCACTCCATGGGAAATTTGCAAAAAAAATACGCAAACAGCCTGAGAATTTTGCTGTTTGTGGAGAATTTTTAGCGGCTTTGAGCAAGGTTTGAATTCAGGATCTCCCACCCYATGGCTTTGATGTGTAAAGAAAAAAGAAATTTAAATTTTGGGCTCCTGWCCTGTACCTGGACTGACAGATGTGCTCCAAACAGCAGCTGCAGCCAGAAAATCCCAATTTTTTTTTTCCCATTCCCTGGAGCCAGGCAGCATTTTGCTTTCTATTCTTTTCCCATAAACCAACAGAGACGGAAAAAGCCAAGCTTTAAATAGACACACAGAGCTATTTAAATAGGTGTTTATATAAATAATGTTTTACAGGCACAAAGAAGCCAAAATGAAGGTGCTTATTTTACATTCCTGAGGAAAATGCTCTGTTTCACAGCATTTCACAGTCCTTCTTTCAAATTCAAATTTAAAAAAAAATTGGCATAAATGATGAGCAGGAATTTCTGTTACACCTTGCCAGGCAGGGTTTTGAGTGGGACAAGGAGAGCCATCGTATTTAAAAACAATATTGTATTTATTTTAAAATCCTATTGTATTTATTTTAAAATCCTATTGTATTTTTTAAAAAAATTATATTTATAAAAAAATCATATTATATTTATTTAAACATCATATATTTATTTTAAATTATATTTATTTAAAATAATACTCATTTAAAATCATATTTATTTAAAAATCATACTGTATTTATTTAAAAATAAAGAGAAAAATAAATCTTCATTTGCACAGCTGAAATATTTGCTGGGCCGAAGGCTCAGGTGATGATTTGACCCCTCTGAGGGTTTTTGCTCAGGGGGAAAAGGTTCAGCTGAATTTCGTGGGTGCTGTTAAAGGATTTCCCTGCAAATCATCTCAAGAGGTAGCAAAAATCAAGAATTTGGAGGAATTGGGTGGCTCAAAACTGCAGAAATCAAGAATTGGGTGGCTCAAGAACAGCAGAAATCAAAAATTGGAGGAATTGGGTGGCTCAAAACTTCAGAAATCAAGATTTGGAGGAATTGGGTGGCTCAAGACTGTAGAAATCAAGAATTGGGTGGCTCAGGGCAGCAGAAATGGAGAGATGAAGGAATTGTGTGGCTCAAGACTGCAGAAATCAAGAATTGGAGGAATTGGGTGGCTCAAGACAGCAGAAATCAAGATTTGGAGGAATTGGGTGGCTCAAGACTGTAGAAATCAAGAATTGGGTGGCTCAGGGCAGCAGCAATGGTGCACAAAGCTTCTCACATCCTACCTGAACCCATTTTACACAACCAGAAATAATTACTGTGTGATATCATCGAGTAAATTCTGAAAAATCAGTTATTTTCTTACTTTTTTTCTGGTTCACCTGAGTCACAATTTTCTCTAATGCTCCAGCCAACATTTGCTACCCAGTGTGAGCAAATCTGAGCACCTGAGCCATCATTTGTCACCTAATTAAGTGACCTGATTTTCTCAGGAGCAGGATGTGTTTTCCAGCTCCCACTGCACTCAGCAGTTGTGAAAATCAGGCCAATTTTGTGTGGCTGTGACCAGTTTTGAGTCCTCAACTTTGAAAAATGTTTTGGCCAGGGTGGATTTTTTGGGAAGGATGCAAAGATTTATCAGTCATCAGCTGATGGAATTAAAAAATTAAAAAATAAAGGGGAAAAAAAAATAAAAATAATCTGTCATTTGCAGGTGCTGGGATAAAAATATCCTTTGGCTTTGTTTGCTCATTGCAGTGTTTCCTCTTCACACTGAAAATTAAATTGAGAAGGGATTTCTTTGTCCCTGTGGGTGGTGGAGGCAGCTTTGGAAATCACACGTGAGCGAATGTGTGGGGTCCAGCCCGATGTTTTCTGACTCTTTTGGGGTCTCCAGGCKCTGTGGGAGCTGCAGGTGACTCCAGCAGGGTTTTTTTTTGTGGGATTTATTCTGAGGAATCATTGAGGGAAAGAGGATGGGGGCAGAGTCTGAGCTGAGCTCAGCTCCTGCAGAGATCTGGGCAGAGGAACCCAGGGGAAAATGCTCATTCCAGGGGTGGAGTTTTACTGGGAGGGAGATTTTAATTCAATTCAGGGTTAGAGCTTTACTGGGAGGGTGATTTGAACTCAATTCAGGGTTAGAGCTTTACTGGGAGGGAGATTTTAACTCGTTCCAAAGCCAGAATTTTACTGGGAGGGCAGTTTTAACTCATTCCAGGGTTAGAGCTTTACTGGGAGGGTGATTTTAACTCGATTCAGGGTTAGAGCTTTACTTGGAGAGCAATTTTAACTCATTCCAAAGACAGCTTTACTAGGAAGGTGCTTTTGACTCATTCTAGGGCAGGAGCTTTACTGGAAGGGCAATTTTAACTCATTCCAAAGCCAGAATTTTACTGGGAGGGCAGTTTTAACTCATTTCAGGGCCAGAGCTTTGCTGGGAGGGTGATTTTAACTGGCAGATTTCAGGGGAGAGCTTTGCAGAGTCACATTAAAAAGCAGAAACAGCCCAGACAGGAGAGGAGGTGATAGGAGCAAAGGCAGCACAACAAATCACACATTTGCAACACAGCC